GTGAAGGACAGAACATCCAGAAAGAAGCTTAACAAAGACGCGGAAGATCTAAATGCTACAATCAACCAACTTGATCTCATAGACATATACCAAACACTCAACCCAACAGCAGCCAAGTACACTTTCTTTTCCAATGCACATGGAACATTCTCCAGAATAGACCACATATTAGGCCACAAAGCAAGCCTTGACAAAATCCAAAGCATCAAAATATTACAAAGCATCTTTTCTGACCATAAAGCCATAGAAGTAGAATTCAGTAACAGAAAAAGCAAGGAGAACTATAACTACTTCATAGAATTGTTGTGGGTCAGAGCAATGGGTGTAAGTGCTTAATAAATGTTATTTATCATTATCATTGAGCAGGGAAGTGATGTAATACGCTGATGGAAACCCAGGCTATTTATGGTGTTAGAGGTCAAAATGGGGGGACAGTGAGTGGGAAGGGGCACATGAGGGTCTTCCGAGGTGCTGGTCATGTTTTTGTTCCTTAATATGAGTTCTTGGGTGGTGCAAATGGTTAATGCCCTCAGCTGCTAACTGAAAGGTTGGAGGTTTGAGTCTACCCAGAGGAATCTTGGAAGAAAGCCCTGGTGATCTACTTCCAAAAAATCAGCCATTGAAAACCCTATGGAGCACAGTGCTACTCTGACACACATGAGGTCACCATGAGTCAGAATCCACTTCACGGTAACTGGTTACATAAGTGTTTTCGATCTGAGCTGTACACTTATGATTTGCATACTTTTCTATATATATGTGGTGTGGTGTATTGCTTTTATTTGGCCTTTCTCACCATGGTCTTGTAACTCCCATCAGGTGAGTAGGACTATGCAAATAAGGTGCTTGTGGCCCACCAATGGAATCGGACAGCTTGCTAATAATGCAAATAATGTGCATGGCACCCTTGTGGGGGTGGGACATATAAATAAGGTGTATGGAACCCTAATGAGGGGATTGGTCAGTTTTGCCATCCCACTAGGCTTAAAATGAGCCATCCCAGAGGCAGAAAGAAGGGACCTCACTACCACTAAGAAAGAAGAGCCAGGAATGGAGTGCATCCTTTTGACCTGAGGTCCCTGGGCTGAGAACCTCCTAGACCCAGGAGACAGAGAGAGACAGCTATAATACTAGAGATGGCACAAGATGGCCAGAAGCAGCACAGAGAAGAAGTGGCAGCAGAACCAGAAAACCAGCATAAGATGGTGTGGTGGGCTTCCTGGCCCACCGAGCAAGGCAGCTACAGTGGGCAAGCTGACTCATGGAGCTGGAAAGCTGAGTGCCTTCAGGCTGAGGCTTCCTGGCAGAGTAGAGTGCCTCTGAACACTTATTGGTGGAGCTAAAGAGCTTTGTAACACTTGCCTAAGCAGGCCAGAGGCTGGGCTGGCTCAAGAGGCCAAGGGGCCAAGGGCCAGGTTGAGAAGCTGTCCTGACTGAAGAACCATACCCTGAGTCATTCCTGATCCTGAATTGTAACCTGTTGCTTCCCTAATAAACCCCGTAACTGTGAGTATGTTCTATGAGTTCTGTGTGGCCAATGCAAGGAATTATCAAACCCAGCAGAGGAGTAGAGCGTGCTGTGGCAGGGAGGGCTGCTGTCGAAACTGCTAAAAAGGTTGGAGAGAGGAAGTCAGATGCCCCCATGCCACCATTTTTTACAAAATGTTACACTGAAATAAAATTTATTTTCGTAAGTGTTTGAGGGTGAGTCTTTCCCAGGGGTAAGAAGGAGAAGGGAAATGCCAACTCACCAGGAGAAACAGAGGGCTGATGGCCATCCAGCAGATCCTCCAAAACCATCCAGGGCTGAAGCCCAGCATTTCCTTCACGTCACTGCAGAACTGATTGACGCCTGAATCACCGAGAAAGAAACGGACTGAGAGAGGATGTTGGCGTCCCTCTACCCCTGATCCTCAGGGGGAGTTAGGGTCACCAGAATTAGCATTGGGAATGAAATGGAGGAAGGGAGTTGGGATTCCTGCCCTGGCCAAAGGTGAAATAGCTCTGGAATTTCTCCACAGGACAGGCCTGAAAGTGGGACTGGAGGACCTGTCACAAAACTGCATTTTTATAGCAAGCAAATCTCTTTCTACCTAAAGTGGAAGGACTGGCCTAAAGTTCCATCGCACACTGCGTTTCTAAGATCTCAGCATATATTTATATATATATTTTATCTATTCACATATATATTTACTTTTATTGTTATTCTAGAATTTTGAATTTTGTCAACAAATAGTGAACAGGCCCAATAGAGACTGGCTTTGACCATACAGTGGAAACTTTCAAAGGAACATGTTAACCACAGTACTGCCCATTCATATGCCAGATCAAGATGAAGGTTCTTCTATAAAAAGTAACTGGTACGCAAGTGAGAGTTGAGGACTCCAACTGACAACAAACTGAGAAGGGGAAGGGTACCCTGCAGCTGCTGAACCAAGAGCTGCCAGCACTTCCCCCAGCAGGTCTGTAGCATTCACCCACTTTGAACTCTGTCCTCTGAATTGCTGAAGAAATGGGGAGGATTTCTTCTTAAAAACAAAAACAAAAAGCAGAATATAACCACAATGTGGGCCCACATGCCACTCAGAATGTGGTCTGCCTTCAGCTTATGCGTAAGGACTGCCACGCTGAAGTTGTTTTACCGTAGAAGCTAGGAAAATAAATACATTTTTAGAGTAAAATAACACATCTTATTTAGCTTACCTTGTTGACTTTAAAGATGAAATAAGGCCTCTCTGAGCTTGGTTTTCTTCATTTCAATTGTCTGCGTCCTCTCTATCCTCGCCCAGGGGCTCTGGGAGCCTTGCCCACGGGCCCATGTCTGGAGCACTCTCTGCACCCCTGGTGGTTCTTCCTTATCAGAATCCATTCCAGAATGCCCGTTGCCGTTGAGTTGATTCCAACTCATAGCAACCCTATAGGACAGGGTAAAACTGCCCCATAGAGTTTCCAAGACTGTAATCTTTAAGGAAGCAGACTGCCACATCTTTCTCCCGCGAGGGGGCTGGCGGGTTCGAACCACCAACGTTTCAGTTAGCAGCCGAGTGCTTAACCACTGCGCAACCAGGGCTCCTTATCCCAGAATCGGAGGGGGTGATTCGGGGTTTCACCAGGGCAGATACACAAATAGCACCATTTTTGCCTCTTTCCTAGAATATAAGCCCCTAAGCTCTTTCTCAGGGCTCTAGAGGAAGCTCTTGCTTGCAAAATTTAAATTTGAGGCCACCTCTATCACAGTAGTATACTGTACACTCTGAAAATGCATTCACTGTGCACTAGTTCTTTGTTCTCCATCCAATTCTTAGAACCAATCATCTTCAGCACTCACCACGGGTGAGCTATACGGATCTGCTTCAATCTGTCCCCACTGGGTAAACATCCAAACCCACAAGGAAAAAAAGAAAGTTTTCTCTCAAGAGCACAGGCACTTTGCTGTACAGAGTGTGGAGGCAATGATCTAATTCTGAAGAAGGCAGTCAGCTGACATTATTTTACAGGCCCATCAGGAGGCCACATATTGTAAACTGTGCCTTGCCTTTCTTTAATGAAATCAGCCCTTTTGTATTGTGCTGGCACAGAAAGGATGGCAGTTAGCTGACTGAAGCATCTTACCATAGAACCAAGACACAGCAATTGCTTCGATAAGCACGACAGTGACGACCGCAGGCCCCGTGGCGTATTCCTCTAGCAGCTTCACCATGTAGGCCCCTCCCTGGAAAAGAGATTGTGAGCCTGGGTAAGGGCCCTCTGAGGCATCGCCACCTCCTTACTATAGATGTCTGCAGAAGCTTCTTAACCAGTTAACCATTTGTTGATTCCGACTCATGGCAAACCCAGGTGTGTCAGAGTACAACTGTGCTCCACAGAGTCTTCAATGGCTGATTTGTCAGAAGTAGATTGCCAGGCTTTTCTTTCAAAGTGCCTCTGGGTGGACTCGAACCTCCAACCTTTCAGTTAGCAGCCAACTGCATTAACTGTTTACACCACCCAGGGACTGCAGAAGCTTCTTAGGATAATTCTGAAAAATTTCCATCCTGGACCTAATATAAGTATCCCACAGCCTACCTCCCAGAGTGTCTTTGCAGTGTGGGCCGGATTTCATCTAACCCCATGGAGTAGTCTCTTCTTTCTTGTTTCCTCTCCCCACTAAGTTTTAAGTGTCCAGCTCCAAGTGGCCTCTGGATCTATTTTCAACTTTCTTCTATCTACTGCACACCTACTGTGTATCCTACCCTGCAGAATCCTGGTCTTTCAAGACTGAAACGTCCAAGGAGTGTCCATGATACCAGATACATTGGGCATGTTGATCACAGTCTCGCCTTCTGTCCTGACTCATGACTCCCTCCTGTCCTACTCAGAGCCCTATCACCCAACAGGAGCTCCACAACCATTGTGGTCAAGACTTGAAGACTCATATCCACGAGGTCTGCCTTGAGTCAGAAGAACACAAGCCTATGATGTGTGTGGGTACTATCTGTGCACATGGACAGTATTTGCCTCAGCTACTAAAAAAATTTGCTAGAGAGGTCTGAATTCTTTATCATTACAAATTTCTCTGGAGTTGAAATGATTGCAAACATGAGATTCCAGCCTCCAGATGTTCTGCATTTCAGGGCAATATTCCCATCAAAGCAGCCGTAAGCAATGAAAAGAGACTGGGGAAGTAGATCCTCAGTGTTCTCTAGATATTTTGCCAAGCCTGAAATCTATTTGGATCTGCTGTAAAATGCTAAGATCCTCCAGAGTCCATGCACGAAACCTACAAGCAGATATCGCCAGAAACCACTTTTCTTCTTATCCTTGATGACAAATTTTAACAGCAGTGACAATCCCCCTTCCTTTGGCCCCAAAACCCGTTGCCTTTGAATCGATTCTGACTCATAGCAACCCTATAGGTCAGAGAAGAACTGCCCCATAGGGTTTCCAAGGAGCAGCTGGTGGATTCAAACCCACCAACCTTTTGGTTAGCAGCCAAGCTCTCAACCACTGTGCCACCCAGGGCTCCCTGGCCGAAAGCCAGATCATTGTGTGGAATGGAAGGAAAGTAACCCCTTCTTGTAGAGTCATGTTGCCCTAGGGGAGGCCCTTTCAAAGGTGAGGGCCATGATACTCACAAAAGTCAGGGTGACCAGGGATCCAAAGAAGCAGGTGATGACCACTCCGAGCACGAACCACTCCCGACGCTTGGCCCAGATGTGGGGACACTCATCCAGCACAGCCGTGATCACCCCCTCCAAGCCTGCAAACTGAGAGGGAGACACAATGGTCACAGTGCAGGCTTTGGGACAAGTCTGTTACCTCCCAGGACAGTGAACAGGAGGTAAGGAGGGAATCATGCCAGGGTCTGGAAGATTGCTGAACAGCCAGTCTTGCTGATCATGACCAGTTCCCCAGACTCACTGGCCCATGAAAGCATCAGCAAGTTTATGTTCCTGTTTTACACGTTTGGAACCCATCACCAAGAAAATCCAGGAAAGAAAATATAGCATATGGACAGAACTTCTATTTGTGAGGTGCTCAAAAGGACTTGGAGAGACTTTGGTTGGAAGAAGTACAGCCAGAATGCTCCTTAGACTCAAGGATGGCGAGACTCCGTCTCACGCACTTTGGACATGTTATCAGGAAGGACCAATCCCTGGAGAAGGACATCATGCTCGGTAGAGGGTCAGTGAAAAAGAGGAAGACCCTCAAAGAGATGGACTGACACAGTGACTGCACAATGGGCTCAAGCATAACAACGATTATGAGGATGGTACAAGACCAGACAGTGTTTCATTCTGTTGTATATGGGATCACTATAAGTCAGAACCGACTCGACAGCACCTAACAACAACACCAGAAGGGCCTACTCCAGCCAAGACCCAAGGGTCAAATACTAGGCAGAGCACTGAGATATAAGACTGACCGCGCCTTGGCATTTAGGGGCCACCATCTGGTCAAGGGGAGCCCTGGTGGCATAGTAGTTAAGAAACTGGCTGCTAACCAAAAGGTCGGCATTTCAAATCCACCAGCCACTCCTTGGAAACCCTATGGGGCAGTTCTACTCTGTCCTATTGGGTCACTATGAGTCTGAATTGATTCAACAGCAATGGGTTATGGGTTATCTGGTCAAGGGACAGTGCACAAGAATAACAGTTCACGCATGCTGCGCCTTGGACTGTGATGGACACTTTGCCCACCTTACCCCATTAATGACTCTAATGTCCTAAAAGCAGTTAGTGCTGTCGCTGAAGAGTGAACAAGGGGCTGGGGAGCCCCAGGAAGGAGCAACCAACACTGCCTAGGATGGGCAAGATGGGGGAGAATGGATATAGCTTCCTTCTCCTCCTCCTCTTTCTCTTGGTTCTTCCCTAAGCCATTTTCCCTCCCCATTCACTCACCGTGCTGTCCAAGCCCAGCGTGATTAACATCAAGAAGAAGATGATGGCAAAGAATGTGGATGCTGGCATGTTGGCTATGGCTTCTGCATACGTGATGAAGAGGAGGCTGGGGCCTGAGACAGAGGGGAGAGAAGGGGAGTGGTCACTGCGACCTGTCCTACAGAGATGTCACAGAGGAAAACTCAGCCACACCAACAACTACGTCAAGGATGGAAACAAACTTGAGACTCTAAGACTAGCAAAGTTGCACACAATAATAATTTCTATTATATCATAATTCAGTGCTTTGTTTGGGGGCCAGGGTTGATATCTCTAAAGTTCCACAGCATTTAGCTCCCTCTGATATCTTTAGCTCCAGAAAAGTAGGAAATGTTAAATTGATTTCAGTAGAGTCACAAGTCCCTTTTGTGAGGAACATGTCCTCAACCACTCGTGGACTAGCTAGGGGTGCCCTCCTTCTTGAGGGAGGGGTCAGAGCACCCCATCAGGCCAAACACACACAGTGTACTAGCAGGAAAGACTGGGACTCCACCCATTAGACACATTTCTCCTTTTTCAACATCTACTACCTTTTTCTTTTTCTATGAAAACTTCACTGTACCGTAGACTGGCAGTGGGCAGGGTCAGCTATAAGGGCCAGTTCTAACAATTATTAATCAGTTGCTTACTGGACTTGGTCATATAGACTCAACACCCAAACTCACTGGTTTTAAAATAATCACCCAAGGCATACTTTCTAGCCTGTAGTGTATTCAAGTCCTCAGTATTGGGTCTCAGGGAGCTGTCCTGGGCCTGCTGTGACCAGAATGCTTGGAAGGGTTGAGATCCCCAGGGCAGTGCTGTTGTTGTTCTTGAGTTGGTTCTGACCGATAGTGACCCTGCGTACAACAGAATGAAACATTGCCCTGTCCTGTGCCATCCTCACAATTGTTGCTATGTTTGAGCCCACAGTTGCAGCCACTGTGTCAATCCATCTCATTGAGGGTCTTCCTCTTTTTTGCTGACCCTCCACTTTACCAAGCATGATGTCCTTCTCCAGGGGCAGATTCCTCCTGATAACATGTACAAAGTATGTGAGACAAAGTCTTGCAATCTTCGCTTCTAATGAGCCTTCTGGCTGTATTTCTTCCAATACTTCTGGCAGTCAATGGTATATTCAATATTCTGCACCAACACCATAATTCAAAGGCATCAATTCTTCTTCGGTCTTCCTTATTCATTGTCCAGCTTTTGCATGCATATGAGATGACTGAAAATACCATGGCTTGGGTCAGGCGCACCTTAGTCCTCAAGGTGACATGTTTGCTTTTCAACACTTTAAAGAGGTCTTTTGCAGCAGATTTGCACAATGCAATGCGTCTTTTGATTTCTTGACTGCTGCTTCCATGGGTGTTGATTGTGGCTCCAAGTAAAATGAAATCCTTGACAACTTCAATCTTTTCTCCGTATATCATGATGTTGCTTATTGGTCCAGTTGTGAGGATTTTTGTTTTCTTTATGTTGAGGTGTAATCCATACTGAAGGCTGTGGTCTTTGATCTTCATCAGTAAGTGCTTCAAGTCCTCTTCACTTTCAGCAAGCAAGGCTGTGTCATCTGCATATCGCAGGTTGTTGATGAGTCTTCCTCCAACCCTGATGCCATATTCCTCTTCATATAGTCCAGCTTCTCAGATTATTTGCTCAGTATACAGATTAAATACATATGGTGAATAGATAAAACGCTGACGCACACCTTTCCTGATTTTAAACCACACAGTATCCCCTTGTTCTGTTTGAACAACTGCCTCTTGGTCTATGTACAGGTTCCACATGAGCACAATTAAGTGTTCTGAAATTTCCATTCTTCGCAATGTTATCCATAATTTGTTATGATCCACACAGTTGAATGTCTTTGCATAGTCCATAAAACACAGGTAAACATGTTTCTGGTATTCTCTGCTTTCAGCCAGGATCTATCTGACATCAGCAATGATATCCCTCGTTCCAAGTCCTCTTCTGAATCTGGCTTGAACTTCTGGCAGTTCCCTGTCAATCTACTGCTGAAACCATTTTTTAATTATCCTCAGCATAATTTTACTTGCATGTGATATTAATGATATTGTTTGATAATTTCTGTGTTCTCTTGGATCACCTTTCTTTGGAATAGACACGAATATGGATCTCTTCTAGTCGGTTGGCAAGGTAGCTGTCTTCCAAATTCCTTGGCAGAGATGAGTAAGCACTTCCAGCGTTGCATCTGTTTGTTGAAACATCTCAATTAGTATTCTGTCAATTCCTGAAGTCTTGTTTTTCGCCAATGCCTTCAGTGCAGTTTGGACTTCTTCCTTCAATATCATCAGTTCTTGATCAAATGCTACCTTCTGAAATGGTTGAAGGTCCAACTGAGCTTCCAGACTAAGACAGACTGGGAAGAAGGACCTGGCGAGCTACTTCTGAAAAAATTGGCAGCACAACATTGTCCAGGACAGTAAGTTTCTCCAAAAAGTCTGAAAAGTTTAATAGGAACATTTAAAATTAATTCAATTCTGTAAAGCTAAAAACTACTCTAAAAAAATAAAATCTACTAAAAAAATACATATAGGAGAGTCCATGTCCCTGTTTAGTGTTCATTAAAAAAAAAAGTAATTCAAAAGTCAAATATTTGCAAAGAGCAGCAAAGAGAAACCCAGACCAGGCCAGCTCAGAGTAATTCAGTAGGAGCAAGGGAACTAAACAGAACTTGAGGTCCTACCTGCATCTTTGGCCACCTCAGACACGTCTTCGTTCCTCATTTCAGCCATATACCCGAGTACCGTGAAGATGACAAATCCCGAAATGAAGCTCGTCATGCAGTTCACCACGCTGGTCACCAGGGCATCTCTGGGGTAGAAAATCGAGGTAGCTGAGACATTTCCAGGTTTGGGAGTGTAAGCAGCCTCTGTCTGTGCACCGCCCTGCCTGAGACTGGCCTGCCTTTGCAAGGATGAGCAGGCTGAGCTTAAAGGGACCTCAAGCCTGTCCTGGTGTCCATCTCCCTTCTCCCAGAGCCCTGGCCTCTCAGGCAGGTTGAATCAGCCTTTAAGTTCAAGCTGCTGTTACCAGCATGCATGGCATGGGGGAATAGCAGGTTAGGGGTTGTTTTAAGAGAAACAGCACAGCTCATGGTTGTTATTTGCCAGCAATCGAGTCAATTCTGACTCATGGCAACCTCATGTATGCAGAGTAGAACTGCGCCATGGGGTTTTCTAGGCTGTGACCTTTCGGAAGCAGATTGTCAGGCCTGTCTTCCGAGGTGCCTCTGTGTAGGTTCAAACCTCCAACTTTTTGGTTAATAGTCGAATGTTCAACAGTTTGCATTACCCACAGCTCAGACCTCTCAGTTTCCAACAAACCTGGCTCTGAAGCATGGGTTGGAGAGGGGACCAGGATGGGGCTCTGGCCTCACAATTGTGAAGTCCTCAGATCTAGACACTTTTATGGGTGTGTGTGGTAAATATATATGTAACCTAACATTTGCCAATTCAACATTTTTTACATGTACAATTCAGTGACATTGATTACATGAATCATGATGGGCAACCATCACCTGTATCTGTTGCCAAATTTTCCATCACCCTTAACAAATGCTCAACACTTCCTAAACAATGATTTCCTCTTCCCCCTCCCTCCCGCCCCTGGTAACCACTAATAAACTTTGATCTCTATGCGTTTGCCTATTCAGATCTAGACATTTGACATTATCTGTAAATGAAGTCACAAGACTGCCACGGAGATACTCTGACACATTTTTTTTAAATTGTGCTCTAAGTGAAAGTTTACAGTTCAAGTTAGTTTCTCGTACAAAAATTTAAACACACATTGTTATATGACCCTAGTTGCTCTCCCTATACTGTGACAGCACACTCCTCCTTTCCACCCCAGATTTCCCATGTCTATTTAACCAGCTCCTGTCCCTTTCTGCCTTCTCATCTCACCTCTGGATAGGAGCTGCCCATTTAGTCTCATGTATCTACTTGAGCTAAGAAGCACTCTCTTCACAAGTATCATTTTATGTCTTACAGTCCAGTCTAATCTTTGTCTGAAGAGTTGGCCTCGGGAATGGTTTCATTTCTGGGCTAACAGAGAGTCCGGGGGCCATGTCTTCTGGGGTCCCTCCAGTCTCGGTCAGACCATTAAGTCTGATCTTTTTACTAGAATTTGAGTTCTGCACCCCACCTTTCTCCTGCTCCGTCAGGGACTCTCTGTTGTGTTCCCTGTCAGAGGGGACATTAGTGGTAGCCCGGCACCATCTAGTTCTTTTGGTCTCAGGCTGATGGAGTCTCTGGTTTATGTGGCCTTTTCTGATACTCTGACACTTTTAAAAGAAGATGTCACCATACAATTTCAGGACCAATACAAGATCATACTGTCCGTGGTACACATGAATTCCTTTTCTAAAAAATAAATTCTGTAATTATTTAATGAACAGCACAATTAGATTGCTGGGCGTCGCCAACTGTGATAGAACATTCATGGAAACAAAGTTAAGTCTAAAGATGATGAATGATATTTAAATCATAATTGGTGCAACACTCCCTGTTTGGTCAAAAATTCAGGAATGTTGTTGACAGATTGTGATAAATGTAACTAAAGTCACTGAACAATTTGTGTGGAAATTGTCAAATGGGAACCTAATTTGCTATGTAAACCTTCACCAAAAACTCAAGAAAATATTATTAAAAAAAAAAAAACCCTATGGAGCACATTTGTACTCTGACACACACGGGGATCTGAATCAACTTAATGAGGAATGAGATTTTGCCACAAAAATGATGGCATTTTGTGTTGGTCAAAATCATTCAAGCATCATACTTTTTGGGTATATGTACATAAATCACCAGATCATAATTTTTGGTGTTAAACACATTAACTAGTTAAAATAAAATATTTAATGTATGTTGCAAATTTTGTAAACCTGCTTTGGAATTTTTTAATGAATTAGTTTTTCAATATACAGGGACTCACAAAACGGATGTGGCCTGGCCCTCTCTCAACTTCTAAGTGGTTCAGATGAGGCTACAGTCTGGGTGGGTGAGCTGGCCAAGGGTGAATTGGCCAAGGACCTTTAGTCTCATCACAGCCTGAGCCCGGCCAGGTTTCAGGCCACTGCTTCCATCTACAAGTCTTTCTCCAGACCAGATAACTTCTGCTTGCCCGACTTTGAACCTTTGCTTGGGGGATCCCAGATACTCACTGGTAACAGTTGTTGTTGAATTTGTTGTAGCTAGCAAAAGCCAGTAGGACCCCAAAGCCAGGACCAAGAGAGAAGAAGATCTGAGCTGCAGCATCCACCCACACCTGGAACACAGCAGAGGTCAGGGTGTGGGGGTGAGGAGGCCAGCGGGACGGGTGCCTCTCATGTCTCCATATGTACAGAGGAACTGGCGAGAAACCAGCTTTCAAGGCTCATGCCAAGGACAGCCACATATCAAGTGCAAACAGATGTAATTTCTCTTCCTGTCATTTAGGCATCAGCCAACTCAGTGGCCTCAACTGTGTTTTTATGTTGTACTTCTGGTTTAAAGCATCATGGCACTTTGAAGCCAAGTTTCAGTTGCCCCCACTGTCCCATTTGGAGGAGGACTAGCTTCAGTTAGTAAAATGACAGACAGGTCCACACACTTTCTGCCATTATCTTACCCCTGTCTCCAGAAGTTTCTGCCAGTTGGGTTTCAGGTAAAAGAGGACACCTCTCCAGGCTCCAGGGAGGGTGGCTCCCCTCACCAGCAGGACAGAGAGGATGATATAAGGGAAGGTAGCTGTCACCCACACCACCTGTAAGGAAAAAGAGTGGAAATCAGGTTATCAGTGTGCTACCCAGGAAGAGTTCAGGAGGGAAGTAGGTGGATGTTGGTGTCATTTATTCTTGAAGCTCTCCAAGAAAGGAGACCTCCACCTGTTTCTTTTCTTCCTGTAATTTTAAGAGGCAGGGTAGTGTGGTGCAGAGATGGCAGGCTTTAGAATCAGACGGACAGGGACATGACTCAGAGCTTGGCCAGTACTGTTGTTGTGTTGTTGTTAGCTGCCTTTGAGTTGGTTCCGGACTCATGGTGACCCCATGCAAAACTGAATGAAACACTGCCCAGTCCTGTGTCATCCCCACGATCAGCTGTGGACTGGACCATTGTGATTCATAGGGTTTTCACTGTCTGATTTTCAGAAGCAGACTGCCAGGCCTTTCTTCCTAGTCCATCTTAGTCTGTGAGCTTCCACTGCCAGACTGGTGGTGGCTGTGCATGAGGTGTATTGGCCATGATTCAAACCCAGGTCTCCCACGTGGAAGGCGTGCATTCTACCACTGAGCCAGCACTGCTCTCGCTTGGCCAGTACTAGCTACCCCTATAAAATGGAAAATCTATAAAATGGAGAAAATAAACTAGCAGGAAACAGTATCGTTAGCCAGTGTACATAAAGACTGGTCCATGATGGTTTTCAATAAATGATTGCCACTATGATTAATTGTGATACTGCCAATGGGTTAAAAGAATTTTGAAAAAAAATCATATAGTGGTTCTTGGGACTGGCCCACTTTCATAACTTTCTAACAGATTTGGTGAAGAGATTGAGCATCATGGAATGTGACTATCCCCCTGCCTATGGCTGTCTAGGCTACTGGGTTCTGAGTTTGAGACCCTCCGGGGCCCCTTGGCAGGCCTGGATCATTGGCTGGAGTCCCCCTCACCTTGCCAGATGTTTTGACGCCTTTCCAGATACTAAAGTAGATAACAGTAAAGATCAGCATGATGCAGAGGGTAAGCTGCCAGTTGATGCCACCCAGGTCCTGGAGTCCCTTAGACTGGTGGATCTGCAGGACATGGCGTCTGGGGTGAAAGAAAGAGGCCTGTGAGAAGGTCTGAACAGTGATGTGAACATACAATCCACAATGTCTCTAGGAGCCATTGCACTGCAAGGACCACATGGTCCCTGAGCCCAGGAGAAGAGCAGCACACTTAGCCCATCAGCCCAGCGACCCTGGAAGAGCACTGAGCCCAAAGGCAGACCTCCTGGGCTCGCCTTTGCTGGCTGGGACCCAAATGCCTTTCACCAACACCACTGGCATTTTGGTATATGAAGATTTGTATGCATGGGTCCTGGGCCCCCTCTGCCACCCTAAAGTGGCTCTCTTTTCAGGCTGCCACAGTGCCTGAAATTCCAGCTTGAAAGTATACTACCTTCTCCAAGATCTTTTTCTAAAAGGTAGGTTCCACTTACAAAGTCAACATATTAAATCATAAACCATAGGAAGTAGTTTAATGCTTTGCTTCCATGACAACTGGCTGAGAACAGGGCCCAGGAAGAAGGGTGGTTTTGAAGCAGGGGAGTTAAGTTTGGAATGTGAAGGTAGGAGCCAGCCTGGGTACATTGCAGCAGCCTATGGCCCATCAGAAAGGAAGGGAGAGGCACAGGAGGGTCAGGTTATAGAGTACTCAAAGCAGTCTCCCAACTCCAAATCCTGCCTGAGAGTCTGCTCTGGAGAATGAAAATACATCCTACCAGAACCTTTGGGACACAGCAAAAGCAGTGCTCGGAGGTCAATTTATAGAAGTAAATGCACATCCAAAAAGAAGAAAGGGCCAAAATCAAAACATTAACCCTACAACTGCAACAAGTAGAAAGAGAGCAGCAAAAGAAGCCCTCAGGTGCCAGAAGAAAGGAAATAATAAAAATTAGAGCAAAATTAAATGAAATAGAGAACAGAAAAACAATTGAAAGAGTTAACAAGACCAAAAGCTTGTTCTTTGAAAAGATCAACAAAATCAATAAAGCATCAGCCAAACTGACAAAAGAAAAACAGGAGAGGAAGCAGATAACCTGAATAAGCAATGCGATGGGTGATATCACAACAGACCCAACTGAAATTAGAAGAATCATAACAGAATACTGTGAAAAACTGTGCTCCAACAAATTTGAAAACCTAGAGGAAATGGACAAATTTCTAGAAACACATTACCTACCTAAACTAACACAAACAGAGGTAGAACAACTAAATAAACCTATAATAAAAAAAGAGATTGGAGAGGTAATTAAAAAACTCCCAGCAAAAAAAAAAAAAAAAAAAAGCCCTGGCCCTGACGGCTTCACTGGAGAAATCTACCAAACCTTCAGAAAAGAGTTAACATCACTACTACTGAGAGTCTGCTCTGTCATCTCCTTACTAACATTCACTCACTGGCCCTGATAGTGTCATCTCTCAGAAATCCGTCAGGAAGAAGGCAAACCCCAGGGGTGTGGCCTGCCTCTAACAGACCATCCCCTCATTTACATGCACTTACATGTAAAACTCTTCAGCTGGAGAGGTGGAGTGGAGAGTCCAGGTGATGTTGTCCTGGGAGAAGTAGTTGGTGCAGTTGCCAGTGTTCCAGGAGTTCTTGCAGCTTGTCCAGGGCAGCTGGTTGGTGAAGGAGGAGATGAGGTAGTAGAGCGCCCAGGCAATAATAGTGTTGTAGTAGGAGGCAATGTAGAAGGCAATGATGCAGATGGTGTAACCGATTCCTGGGAAGCAGGAGAGAGAAGGTGAGACAGGACAGGTTTAAAGGGCAGCCCAATGTGGAGGATCAAAACTGGGCACTGGAGGGCATTGTAGCCTGAGTGAGGGGTAGAGGTGCTTATTGTTAATTGTCATCAAATTAGCTCTGACACATGGTGACCCCATGAACAACAGAATGAAACATTGTCTGATCCTGTGCCACTTTTACAACTGGTATTCTTGAGTCCATTTTTGAGGGCACCGTGTATTTTGAGTGTCTTTCAACCTAGGGGGCTCATCTTCCAGCACTATATTGGGCAATATTCTGTTGTGCTCCATTGGGTTTTCACTGACTAATTTTTGGAAAGAGATCACCAGGCCTTTCTTCCTAGTCTCTTTTAGTTGGGAAGCACGGCTGAAACCTGCCCACCATCGGTGACCCTGCTGGTATTTGAAATAATAGTGGCATAGCTTCCAGCATCATAGCAACTTGCATACAACCACAGTACAACAAACTGACAGACGGATGGTAGTGAGGTGGATACTGCCACTCATTTTACTTCCCAAGGACTCAGGAAGAGCGTGGAAAAAGTGGCGACTCAGTACATTATTTATATGTATTTGCAAAGTGACATGTTTTAGAAAATATGTGTGTGGGCTGGTAATGCTTTTAAAATTCTACTATTTATCTTACATTTTATTGTATTCATTTTATTATTTAAATAATAAAACTTATTTTATTTAAAATGTATTATTTCGTTTACTTTAAATTGCCATTTATTTTGCTCCCCTTTAACATTTTTTATTGTGATAAAAATATATGTAACAAAACATTTGCCAATTCAATGATCCCCTTTACTAACTTTACAGTAAAAAACGTAATTACTCAAGTTATTTCCCAAGGATACATAGGGCCTGAGTGATTCCAAAAGAATGTCCCCAGCTCCCACCACTTCCTTGGGAGGTCCCACTTACCCACCACCCAAGCCCTTCAGTTACCTTTGAAAATCGGGCAGATTTTCCGCCATATTGAAATGCATCCGTTTCTGTGGTACTGGCCCAGCGCTAGCTCCAGGTAGAAGAGTGGGATCCCTCCAAAAATGGCCATGATGGTGTAGGGGAGGAGGAAGGCCCCTGAGAAAGGTGAGAGACAATTTCACACCCTGCCTGCATCTGTCCCAGGCAGCCCAACTTATCTGGACAAGGGGCCCTACAGTGGCTCCACGGAGCAATCTGACAGCTCAGCTGTCAGGGAGCCGCATTCTGTGTCAAGTGACTTCCCACTGCACTCTCCTTGTCTTAGTGCTTTGCCAGAAATAGTAGTGAACAAAGCTACTTGGTTAAAGCTAGGTTTTGGAGGAGGAAGATAGCTGAAATGGAGAGAAAGCTAGGTTTGGGAGTCAAGAGACCAGGCACCAGTACCAGCTCCACTTCTACCTGCCTGTATGACCTGGGACCACTTCCCCTCTCTGAGCCCTGATTTTCTCCCCTGTGAAAGGACAGGGTTGAGGAGGGCTGAGGTTCCCAAGCCCAGCGACACACATTCACACAGATTCCTGGATCCATCCCCGACGTCCTGAAGCAGAATCTCCAGGTACAAGTACAGCACACATTTTTTTTTCAAGCTCCCTAGGTGATTCTCATGCAACAGGTTATAGACCACTATTAGAGGCCAGGTCACCTGTAAGGTACCTGCCAGGTGCAACCACCTACAGAGTCTCTGAAGCAGCGCTTTGTACGTCTGTATTACCCTTGGCCCCAGACACTTGACTGATATTTGGTTATCTTCCCATAATTCCACTGAGCCAGAATTATCCCTCACAAGCCACCTTTGCAGGTATGTCGGAAAAAAGGGTAAGTTTTCACAAAATGAGAACGCTGCATCGCTGGACAGGCTGGTGTCTCCTGGACCTTGTGGGTGGATCAGCTGTGATTTTCCCTGATAACTTTCCCTCCCATAATGTGCTTTGAACCTGGGAACCCAAAGTTAGTGCAACTCAGAAAGGAACCACCTAACTTAGAATCACACTGGGTACATCTGGCTTGAGAAGAAGAACCACGTTGTCCTTTTGCTGTGGCTTCTGTCCAAAGGGTTTGCTCTGCCGGCTTTAGAGTAGGCAGAGAGTGTAGGGGAAACGTCACCAGTGACCCAACCCCTTCTGTAATGCTCAGGTTAAAGGTGAGCCTTCCCAGGCTATAGTGAGGTGATTATGACTTCCTCTCCTCCCACCAGGGAACTCTGGGCTTCCAGGACCCATCTGGAATTGCCTTCGCAGCTGCATGGACAGAGGTCCTTAAAAGACGCAGTAAACCCAGGCTACTCTGTTGGGTCGTGGGAGACGTGAGGGTGACACAAATGAATTATCCCCCAAACCTCATTGTAGCCGCCCTCTCAAATCTATTGCCAGAGCTCCTGCCAAAATAAATGTTGACTGATTTGACCCTTGGATCTCTGGTGGCATAGTGGTTAAGAGCTCGGCTGCTAACCAAAAAGTCAGCAGTTCAAATCCTCCATCCGCTCCTTGGAAACCCTATGGGGCAGTTCTTCTCTATTCTATAGGGTTGCTATGAATCAGAATCAACCCAACTGCAAGAGGTTTGGTTTTTTGGTTGCATTTGACTCCTAATTCTTGTCTTTGTTGTACTCTGAAAGCAAATCCAGTGTCCACACAGAAGCCCATACGTATTTACTTGTCTCCCATGCTCTGCTCTCCCTGGGGTTCACGCAGCCATGCCTACAGTCAGTTACTATGTTTGATAATCTGCAGGTTAACTGCTCTAGATACCTGAGGGGTACAAGGAAGAACAAGAGATGGTCTCCGGCCTCAAAAATCAAACACTCTTGTAGGAGATATAACGTATCTCTGTTTATGTTTTGGGGTTGGCATTAATTTCACGCTGTGACTGGGTTCAGCTTTACATTTTGCTCAGACTGATAACTTAAGAGTTTGGACCTAAGCTGAAGTCCTTCTCTTAACCTCACAGAGGCCCAATAGGGTCTGGGACCCTGGAACCACCTCCCAATTTTTTCTTGGGCAGATCTAACCCCTCTGTAACCTTCGGAGCAGAACCTGCCACCCGGAATAGAGGAACTCAGCTCAGCAGGGACAGCTTTTCCCTCCCCTCTGGTGTGGGGGAGGGCAGAGCTTGGATAATATGCAGATGAGAAGAGGGGCCTTCCACAAAGGAAGACCTAATGATGATGGAAATCTGGTGAGGTCAAGTTTGGGAGAGTATCTTAATTATCTAGTGGTGCTATAACAGAAATACCACAAGTGGGTGGCTTTAACTAACAGAAATTTATTTTCTCTCAGTTTAGGAGGCTAGAAGTCCAAATTCAGGGGAAGGCTCCCTCTTTCTGCCAGCTTGGAGGAAGGTCCTTTCCTCTTTGAGCTTCTGCTCCTGGGCGATCTTCATGTGGCTTGGCATCTCTCGTCTCTCATCTCTGCTTGCATTCAATCTCTTTTATATCTCAAAAGAGATGAACTCAAGATATAGCCTACACTAATCCTGTCTCATTAACGTAACAAAGACAACCCATTCCCAAATGGGATTATAACCACAGGCACAGAGGTCAGGATTTACAACACATATTTATGGGGGGACACAATTCAATCCATAACAGAGAGCTTTATTCCAACTTTACAACCCAAAGAGCCTCAGATATGCTGATCTAAGCTTTTGGCTCATGGAGGATCTGTCTTTTAGACTAGCTTGAAAGCCTAAGCAATCATGTCCCCAGACTCATGTCAAATAAGACAGAAAAGACATGGCTTATCCTTTGGCCTCCCGCAAAGATCTACAGCTCACCCCTAGGTTACAGCCCCGCTCCGTGGCCCAGGATACTGACCTCCTCCATTCTGGTAACAAATGTAGGGAAAGCGCCACACATTGCCCAGGTCCACGGCATAGCCAATGACCGAGAGGAGGAAATCCACCTTCTTGCCCCAGGTCTCCCGTTCCACTTGATGAACCTCAGCCACTAGGGCGGTGGTGGCTGCTGGGGTGGAGTGCTGGGTGTCGTCTCCCGTACCAGGGCTGGCAACCGCTGAGTACTCATTGGAGATTTGGTCAGTCTCCACTTTATCACCTGGGGCAGGGACACCTTTCCGTAGAACTCCATTTTCCTGACAATCTTCTCCATCCTTACAGGCTGACGGCTCCTTCTGAGAATTTAAGGGCTTGGTCTCCATCCCGCCGGTTAGTAACAGATACTGGTGTCCATTTGTCAAGGGCCTGAACTGAATCCTTGGTCCTGGGATTCCTCAGAGCTTTATAGAGACGGGCTGGAGAGCTCTGTTGTTAAGGCTTGCAGAGAAAGAAGAATACAATTAGGCATTTTGCTTGTCTTTGGTATGAAGTCATCATACCTCTTAAGCTACATCCATGAATGGATCACAGATGCATCTCTCAAATATGAAGACATCCTTATGCCATATAGGGGTCAATACAATCAACTAAGTTTTTCAACCTATACCCAAAAACCCCAGACCCCCTGGCCGTCAAGTCAATTCCAACTTATGGTGACCCAGTGTGTTACCGAGCGGAACCACTCCATAGGGTTTTCTTGGCTGTAATCTTTACAGGAGCAGATTGCCAGGCCTTTCTTCTGCAGCACCACTGGGTGGGTTTGAACCGCCAGCCTTTAGGTTAGTAGTCAAGTGTAAACCGTTTGCACCACCCAGAGTGTCAAATCGCAGTCAAGTAATTTGTAAAGTAAAAAACAAAACAAAAATAGTCAGCAAATCACCAAGGTTTCACAAGGCCATATTTAAGAGCAAAGCATTTACTTCGCTTCGAGGGACAGAAATCTCACCCTCTAGTACCAGTAACTGGAGCCCTGGTGGCGCAGTGGTTAAGTGCTTGGCTGCTAACCAAAAAGGTCTGCAGTTCGAATCCACCAGCTGCTCCTTGGAAACCCTCTGGGGCAGCTCTACTCTCCTATAGACTCACTATGAGTCAGAATCAACTAGACAGCAACTTTTTTTTTTTAGTACCAGTAACCAAGAAGAGTGTAAGACAAGGACTCATTTGAACCAAGCTTCACGGAGCACTTACTTGGTCTTGGATGCTGTGCTAGGTCCTGGGGAAATAGTTAACAAAAAAAAAAGAAGCCGTTTCTGCCTGTAAATAGATAAGGACAGTCTTCTCCATTATTTAAGCGGAATACCCAAAGTTATATGTTATATAAGCTATAGACATGATTAAAAAAGTAAAAGAGCAAAGACTAGAGGGGGAAAGGCAGCCCCTTGAGAGGCAGCCCTAGCTCCTTAGCTGTGGACCTCTTCACTCTTCCCTCAGCCCTGGTCTTGGAAACCGTCAGGCAGCTTCTAGCTGCCTCCAGCTGCAGCTGAGTCCCGCCCCTCTGAGCTTTGCCTTTCTGCTGAACAGACTTCCCACTTTGCCTCTGAAAGTCCCATTGGGCCTTAAACGGCACTGCTGCTCACCATTCATTCTTCCTGACACTCCCCAGCAACTCCTGTGGGTAATCCACTTGTTACTCTGCAACTGCGGGGCAGACAAGGGTCACTTCTCATACAGGCTGGGCGAGTCAGGAGAACAAGAATGGGTTACTGAAGCCAGCATGGCTGGTGTCTCGGTCTCCACGCACCTCTGTGGGAAGGGCTGGGGGCCAGCTGCAGCGCCTTCGTATCACTGCCCTGAGCTGTGGGGAAGTCAGCTCACCTTGCTGGGGTCTGGATTGAGGGCTGAGACATCAAACATGGGGTAGAAATCTGAGCCCTTTTGGACTTTATACCTATGACCTGTTATAAAGTTGTAAGCAGCCAGGAACTTCCAGCTAACTTCATTTCTTTAGGGCCTGAACTTTTCAAACTCTTCCAACAGTTTGTGAGTTGAAACATGCTTCTGTTTAGCTAAGATCACATTTTACCTCTCTAGAAAAAATGTCCAGGGATGGACTGATTTCCACTACTGATAACTGCGAAGATTGGATACCCACTCCCAGAACCAACAGCAGGAGGATGGCTGGGAATTAGTAACTGATGAAGATGGCAAATGTAATCAAAACTCAAGAGAAAGTTCACGCACAGGAAAAAAAAAAACAAACAATCTTTGATGGTTACGAGGGAGGGGAGGGGTGGGGAGGAAGTAAGCAAGTGTTAACTTTGGTGAAGGAAAAGGCAACACACAAGGTAAGGGAAGTCAGCACAACTTGACCAAGGCAAAGTCATAGAAGTTTCCTAAACACATCCAAACACCTTGAGGGATGGAGTTACTAGGGCTGAGGGCTGGGCACCGTAGTCTCAGGGGACATCTAATTCAATTGGCATAACATAGTTCATAAGGAAAATGTTCTACATCCTACGTTGGTGAGTAGTGTCTGGGGTCTTAAAAGGTTTAAAGCAGCCATCTAAGATACATCTATCAGTCCCATCCCATGTGGAGCAAAAGAGAATGAGGGAAACCAAAGACACAAGGCAAATATTAGTCCAAAGGACTAATGGGCCACATGAACCACAGCCTCCACCAGCCTGAGCCCAGAAGAACTAGATGGTGCCCGGTTACCACCACCAACCGCTCTGACAAGGATACAGTAGAGGGTCCTGGACAGAGTGGGAGAAAAATGTAGAAAAAAATTCAAATGCATGAAAAAAGACCAGACTTACTGGTCTGACAGAGACTGGAGGAACCCCTGAGACCATGATCCCCAGATACCCTGCTAACTCAGAACTGAAGCCACTCCAGAAGTCTACCTTTCAGCCAAAGATCAGACAAAGCTATAAAACAAACAACAACACTCGCGAGGAACATGCTTCTATGTTCAATCAAGTATACAAGGCCAGGTGGGCAACACCTGCCCAAAAGCAAAATGAGAAGCAGGAAGGGTCAGGAAACCTGGACGAACGAACCCGGGAAACTGGGGGTGGAAAGCGGGAGAGTGCTGACATACTGCAGGGATTGCAACCAAAGTCACAAAACAATCTGGGTATAAATTTTTGAATGAGAAACTAATTTGCGCTGTAAACTTTCACTTAAAGCACAATTAAAAATTTTTTTTTTAAAAAGCAAATGTATGTTTTCTACCTATCTGGGAGCTCTCAGTGGCTATAACTTAAGCATCTGCACTTAGAAATGTAAAGAGAAAATAATGTAGTGAGTAGAAAATTAGAACACCAAGTTACTAGATTCACATGGATGACTCTGTATATAAATACTGGCAAAGATTAGACATGAACACCAGGGCATATAAGTAATTAGAGTTTGTGTTCTTTTTTTTTTTTTTTTCTGTAAAGTGGAAAATAAACATTTTAAAGGGCTTGATTGTTGCCAAAAATACCTACAATAACAGGAGAGAAATCAGCTCTGTGTAGCTAGGGTGGTGGTGATGTGTGTTTACAGAGGAAAGCAGGTGTCTTGGGCTTGATCTTATTCAGGTATTTGGTACCCACCCCTAACCCACCCCAAGTTCAAGTATGCAAGCATCACTTACAGAAGAACACAAATTTCTGACAAGCTGATCTAGATAAAACCTCATTCTGTTCATTTCTTTATGCTGCTGTCCAACCTCTCTCTGCTTCCCCTTCTCTGGGATCTTAACTGGAATTGACAGACTTTTAAAATCACCACAAATTCTCTCACTCACATAAAACAAAAAACCCAAACCTGTTGCTGTCAAGTCGATTCTGACTCGTAACGACCCCATGTGTTACAGAGTAAAACTGCTCCATAGGGTTTTCTTGACTGTAATTTTTTTTTACCAAAGCAGATTGCCAGGCCTTTCTTCCATGGTGTTGCTGGGTAGGTTCAAATCATCAACCTTTAGGTTAGTCGTCAAGTGCAAACCATTTATGCTACCCAGGGATCTCATTCCATCACAAATAACCATTTATTCAGGCCAAGGGATTTTTTAAAGTTTTTTTTTTTTAAATAAGAGATGATGAGATATCAATATATTTAAATACACAGCTATTACACTGTCTGAATTTGGTGGTCTCTGGCTGTGTTTTTTGAGGAAGGCCTCTGTACTTCTCTCTGGCCTATACCGGTAGCATATTTTGCACATTAAACATCAAATAACTTTACCAGATGGCAGGTATAAGGTGCTTTACCCTTGTAAAGCCCTTGGCACCCAGCCCGGAGGCCTGCCTGTGACCTTGGCCCTTCTCCCTATAAGCTTTTTTTTCTCCTCCTTCAAAACTGTACCCAGCATTTTCTTTAGGAACTTCTTCCTATTTTCAGTCATAACTTTCCTCTTGTTTAAATTGAAGCTCAAAAAACAACCACATTATCCAACCTTTCTCCAGCCTGGCCACGAAGTCAGCAGAGTCTACAGAAAGGAAACGTGGTCCATCTCAGGAGCGCTACATTTAGTTGGGGAATACGTTTAGTTATAACAGTGACTCGCTGCCCTCCCACTGCAGAAGCTGAGTGATCTGCTCTAGATTTCGCTTACAACCTATTCAAGTTAAAACGAACCACACTTACCACCTATTGTCCCCTTTTTTTGGTACATCTTATCGTTGGTAACACGTACTACTACAATGTTGCAGCTCGTAGTTTGCTGATGTTATCATTCTCAGATGTTCACTGGAAGATGTTCAGTGTTAGGATTTACTGTTCAAAACACTGCTATATAGCAGCAATATAGAAAAAAAAAGAGGATTCGACTTACATCAGAACTGACTTACGATGGGGTTGTAGGAATGGAACCCCGTCGTAAGTCGGGGAAGACCTGTACTTTCTCCCCTGGGACATCCTGCGGGGAGAATGGGACCCGTGTGTGTGGGCAGGTGGACTTTTGGAAAGCAGTGTAGATGTGTTCTTAGGGGTCCTTGGGGATCCAGCCCCCACGGCATCCAACCTTGATTTCTTGGCAGCTATGACAAGCTGCTCTTGGAAGAATAATACACTATTCTCTATTTTTATTCTGAGCCATTACAAAGGTCTTGTTTCGTAAAATAGCCCCCAGTACTTTTTTTTAATCAACAGGCTGAAATGGCCCGAGTCAGAAGAAAACCTGATACAGCATCCCTCAGCAGAGCCATGGCTTCAGGTCTCTTTCCAGAGGTTGGTCGCTCTCCCCCACGGCTCTGCTTTCTGGGAGTTCTCCAATGCAGCCCCACCCCTAGTTATAGAACCTGGCATGCAAACAGATAAGTTACAGCCTCTCAAAGCCACCAAGTAGGCAGTAGACACACATCCGTTTTTCTTCCACTCACCCCTCTGCCTCTCCCAGTTGGAAGAAAACTCCTCCCAGTTACCAGTCAGGTCGTCCAGGAACCTCGTGCATGTGCCTGGGACCCTTTCTGTCTGCAAGATTTTGCCTGATGGATCCGGGACTCTGT